AATACTTAGATAAGTCATCATACAGCCCACTATTATCAGGTTGTTCAAATGAGGACTGGACATCTTGATGTATCTGAAAATGATTTGCATTTAATAATAAAAGAAAGATATAGGAAATAAATCAACTCACCTTTGATTGCGATACTTGATATTAAAGGCCAGAAACACCGTAGCAATGATCACTCCAATAACCGAAGCACTAGCCGATACAATGTATATGGTTGGATTCACCTGACTGTGTTCGATGTAGATCAGAGTTCGATCCTTGGGCGGAGTTTTCCCCACCCATTTAACTGGCTTGCCCAAACTCAAGTCCAGGTGAGACTTCTGGGAATGGTACTCCCCTATCTTTTCCATTTGACCCAACTGGAACTGGTTGATCAGGATGTTGGCCTTGCGTTCGTTGTTGTAGAAACGCACAGGACCCTATATGATATAATTTATATATTAAAATTTGATATATGGTTGTATTTTGAAGTTAATTTACCGTAACACCCTCAAAGGAGGTATTTCGCAGAGCCTCGAGAAACACACTTTCCCAATCCTTGACTCGATAATCGAAATGCGTTAGCAGATCCTCGCGTTTTTCGGCCACATACTGAATGGCCAGAGCAGCTGCCCAGATTCCATCGTAGGTATAACCATGAAAGCGAGAATATTCAGTGCCTCGCAGTCTGTCATATTCCACCAGATACTCATCTGCAGTCTGAAAATATTATAGATGTTATACTAGATAGATTCTTTAAAAAGTGATTAAAAATTTTAGATACTAACAATACCGGCCACTGTGATATCGCCACTGGTGGACAGGGGAAGAAGATCCACCAGAATGGCGCCTTCCAAAGCTGTGGCGATCTCCTCCACACTGCACTCGCTGTCCTGGGTGACGTTCCACCAATCTGTGGAATATGTGGCCATGATCAGCCACTGGTAGGCTCTACCATACATGTCCAATCTGGGGGAATGTATATATAATTTATATTTGGTTAAGAGAGAAGAGAAAGAGAACCCACTTGTAAGCTTCGCAGAAGGCCTTTCGAGCAAAGTGCTCGTTAAAGTTGCCTAGGATGATCCTCACGTCCTTTTCGCGGAGTTTCTTCAGGGATTCGGCCACATCATTGACAAAGCTCTGCGTCTCCACGACCTCCACCTCCATGGTGTCCAAATCGGCCACCATATGGTTGTGGGGAAGCGAATACCGCGGTTCATTCTGGTAAACCGTGCCCACCCGGGTCCAATTGAACTCCTTGAGCAGGGCCAATCGGGGTGCATTAAAGGCGTTCTCAGAGGGCACCACCCGGAAGAAATTGGGAAAGGCGTCCTTGGTGAACATGGGATGGGTGTCCGCGTAGCTCAGCTGGGTGAGGTGCCAGTGCTTGCTGGCCTTGGCAATGGGATCGGTAACGTGGGTGCAGGCCGCTCCAAAGAGCATAACTTTGTTGGGACCCGAGTGCATCATATCGAAGAAGGACTTTACGCCCACGGCAGCATTGCACTGGAAAAGGGAGGAAATAAAGTTGCATTATCGAAAATAAGGAAAGTTCGAAGTCCAGGATATATTTTGGATATAATTCCCTAATTCGAAGTCGTTTTAAATTAAATTAGTTTGAAAATATAATATTATAAGACAGATAAGATAAGAAGGTAGTTTTTAATGCTAAAAAACGAGTTTATACGTATTTTTTCCAAATTGTAAACCCATCAAGGGTCTCAAAAAAAAATCTTTAGTAAGAGATCTTATATGTAGTTTGTCCCATAGTGGCTAATCCTAAAAGGCTTGTTCTGTAAACTCACCTGAGTGTCGTTCCACCACATGTGCAGCCTGTAGTTGGCCAGGATCTTCCCGTGCTCGTTAACGTGGCCCAAAGCGAGCTTAACGCTGGGCATAACACCTCGCCCTGTGTAGGAGTTCTCCACGCCATCGCCATAGGGGAAGAATCCCGCTATATAGACATCCGATCTCTTGGCCGTCCTGCCCCAGGCGGTGCTCCAGAGGAACAGGAACAGCAGGCTGGCGAATGAAGTCCAACTTGGCCAAAACATGTTTACCGCGTGGGCTGCGAAACGATTCTAAATGTGAATAGGGCATACATATCGAGGACGTGAACTTGGTGGTGAGTTGTGGGTGGTGCCTGCTGGTGGGTGGTGGGTGCTCAGGTGAGCTGCCAAGGCTGCCGAGGCAAGGCTGCGCCCAGTGGGCGTGTATTTTAGGGCTTCTAACTGTGCTTGTGGGCCTCGCATGCAATTTCACAGGACAGGTGGGGCAAGGCTAAGGCCAGGCCAGCGAAATTGCTTCAAATTGCTGCAGCCCATGCTGGCACGTTGGATAATTATAAAGCAATTTCATGATTAAAGAAGGCAGCCCTGCATTATTTATTATCTTCGTTATGGCGAAGGAGGAATCTCAACTAAACACTTCTATAGGTGTCTAAACTCGTTCAAAAGATCTTTATAAATGGAGAATCATACGTACCAGCTTTGTTAGTCCTGGAGCTTTAGTTTATTTCACTATCTATGGCATTTTACACACTAAATTTGTATTCAACTCTTAGAGAACAAAGAACTTTTGCAGTGCGAGGGTCCGAAAAATTATGTATCCCCCTGACTTGACACTTGGCTGACAGGAGGAATTCGAGGAGGGCAGTGCGCATGTCCTCAATCCGAAAGCTGTGACAGCTCCGCCTTGGCCTAGGTTTTCCAACCCCCGTGGATCCCCCCAAAAACCACGTCGTTTGTAAACACATCCTGCAACAGGTGGCTCCGTCAGCTGGTCCTGCGCCCATTGTTATGACCGTTACCATGGGCTACAAAATGAGAACCACCTCGGCCAATTACCAAATTGAAAATTGTCAGTACCCATAATGGAGGACTATGCGCCAAGTCGCTATAAAATGCTCGAGAAAATCGGCGAAGGTGTCCATGGCTGCGTGTTTAAGGCCATCGATTTGCAGCGCAACAAGGAGGTGGCCATCAAAAAGGTGGCCCTGAAGAACAAATTCGGGAATATTGCTTTGAACACACTGAGGGAAATCAAAACCCTGCAGCTCTGCAAGTCGGAATATGTGAGTTAACCTTATAAAAGTTAAGTAATCCATTAGTAACACGTCTAATTGCAGATTCTGGGTATCATCGACATATATCCCGACCTGACCGGGCTCTCCTTGGTGTTGGAGTACCAGCCGGACACCTTGTACAATCGACTTAAGAGCGAGGTGAATCCCCTGAGCCGGCAGCAGGTGCGAAAGTTTGCCCACCAAATGTTCAAGGGCATTGCCTATCTCCATGATGCGGGACTCATGCACCGGGACATCAAGCCGGCCAACCTGCTGATCAGCGATACGGATGTGCTCAAGATCGCCGACTTTGGACTGGCCCGTCTGTACTTTCCCGAAGAGGAGTCGCGACTTTACTCGCCCCAGGTGTCCACGCGATGGTATCGAGCTCCCGAGATTCTCTGGGGCAGCCAGAAGTACGGAACCGGAGTTGATATGTGGGCAGCAGGTAGATATTATTATTTTTAAGTGGTTTACTTGAAGAACTAATTTATAGATATTTCTGAATAATTTAACTTATTAGACAAACTATAATTTATGATCCGTTCGAAGAATTAGAGATACAATGCATATCATTTCAAAGTTGTTATGTAGTTTAGCATTTTTGATAAAATTATGAATGTTCTCGCCTAACTCAGGCTGCGTGGTGGCGGAGATGCTGCGAGGAGTGCCTCTGTTTGCGGGAACCACCGACATAGAGCAGTTGGCCATTATCATCCGCACTTTAGGCAGTCCTCGTTTGAATCAGTGGCCGGAGTTGACTTCCCTGCCGGATTACAGCAAGATACGGTGAGTACTGACCTCTAAAATGTATCACTTAATAAATATTTTTCCATATCTCTACGTAGCTTTCCCAATTCCGTAGGAATTCACTGGGACAACTTATTTCCAAGCTGCACACATGCGGTGGAGATCAATCTGGTCTCAAATCTGGTGGTTTACAATCCCAAAAACCGTCTTAAGGCCAGCGAGGTAGGTTCCTTTTGCCATATTGAAACTGTATGATTATTATAAGAAATTGTATGATCTATATATTTTTCAGGCAGTTGAACACGATTACTTTCACTAGTTAAAAGACTATTTACACAGGTATTGTTAGCATCTAGGAATTTTCCGATTCTTTGAATCTGCAAAGAGGAAATATACGATTAAATGAGGAAGTAAGAACTACATAGGATACCTACTTGCACTTGAGGCAGGTGAAGAAGACCGTCTGTCCCTCGTCCGCCGATCGGAGTTGCAGGGTGGCATATGACATCTTGTCGTGGTTGCACTTGGGACACTTTCTCTCCACCACGGGTCCTTCAGCCTCCGATTCAGATTCCTGTTTGGTTCTGTTCAACAACTTCTTGGCATCGTATGTGTTGAAATGGATAGTAAATTCAGATTTCTCGCCGCTGTAAACTATTATAAAATCGAAATGATACATGATGATCTTTTAAAAAGGTGTAAGTTCTTGTTTTACCATCCGCTTGAAACTCCTCTTTGCAATTGTGGCAAGTCACATTGCCCTTGACTTGCAGCTCGGGAAGAATGGAGCCACAGGAGGGACAGAATCCCGGGCAATTGGTAAAAGCATCCATTTCAAATATACAAATCCGGCAAATCAAAACCAAAATAAATATATTCGCACGTGCTACTATTGGGATTTTAATAGGACCGTTTTTAGACCGGTTAAAATACCAAAGGCTACTGGAAAAATACTAAACAAATGTCAGAAAGGTGGAGAACCTTGATGACTCAGGTTGGAAACTTTGATATAACCGCTTACCCGTTTCATGCATATTATTTAATTTAAATTCAAATTTAAATTCAATCGAGGGGAAGAACTTAAGTCGTTATTTTCCTAACAGTATTTTCAACGATATAGATTGTGTATACTTTCAATATTATATTCAAAATTTCTTTTTTATCTAACTGCCAGATAACCCAGTAAAAGCATCACAATCGAATTTGTTCATTATTATTATGGTATAAAAAACTAGTACATCAATAAGGCGATCTTACGGGCTAGTCAGCTGAAATGCAAGTCAGATGTGCACACTCTGGTTCAATTAAACTACCTAAAACTATCACAGGCAGAACATTAACTACGCGCTAGAGGTCCTAACTACAACTATGCATCTAGGAACTATTGATCCTTGGCTGCCAGAATATCGCACAGAGTGTAATCAAAACGGGATACCACACTTTAGAGTGAAGGTATCGTCTTTGAGATATCGGTCTATCCTATCGGCTGGAGAGACTCTGCGGCATGTTGAGCTCCCAGAGCTTCATGTTGTTGTCGAGCACCTCGTGGTACCAGCTCTCCTTCTCCGGCTCCTCCCGGAAGATGGGCTTCAGCGACTTGAGGTCCAGCTGCAGGATGGCATCGTTGCCCAGCAGCGAGTCCAGCGATCGCAGCAGAGTACTATTCCCGTGCAGTTTCAGCAGGGTCACATACTTGACCACATAGTACTCGTACTGCAACTTCCTGTTGGCCCAACGCTCCACGGTGGCATTGGCGCTGGCCGATCGAATCTGGCCAAGATGGGCGGCGAACCAGGGTGCAAAGTAGTTGTAAAGATCCAGCTTCGACAGCCCATTGAGCCCCTTGCTCTTGATTCGCTCCTTGATCATGCTGTAGTTCTTGCGACTGTACACGAACACCTGATACAGCGAATTACCGGTGGTGTACGAGTTCACATAGTGCGTGCCCACCTCCTCCATAAATCGGACTACAGACGTCATATTCCCGATTTGCAGCTGATTTACTCGTGACCGGACATCCTGCTCCAAGGGCTGGTGCACCGGAATCTCGGTATTCAGTCGACCGGTTTCCCTGAATCGCACCACCCTCACCAGTACGTACGAGTAATCACCCTGGATGAAGGACGTATTGATGCCCAGCTTCCTGGCCGCATTATCCGGAAACCATCCGCCCGTGAACGCCTCCCAAGGTTTGTCCATCCGCTCAATGGAGAAGTCCCGGAAATAGGCCTGGAACAATTGCCTTCTGTTCTCGCAGAACTCCATGTGAAAGTCTCCGTGAAAGATCCCGGGCGTGGTGTCCTCGTGGCTCTCTGCCAAGCCACTCAGGTTCTGAAAGGATATTACATTTATTAACTAAATTATAACAAGCCAGACCTATCCCTTAAGCAAAAAAAATGGCCAAAAAATTTTAGTTTTATCATTGAATTTAAAAATTATTATTCTAACTAATAAGTTTATAAGTGACGCTTTTTTAACTCAAATGTAGTTAAGTGGCAATGACTTTTTAATTAATCTAGTTAACTAGATTGTCAAATAAAAAATTTAAAGTGGGTCCATTCGAGCACCGAAATTGCCGGAAATATAAAAAGTGGTTTTTGATAAACAAACAAAAACTGGTAGGGCCTTAAAATGTTTATTTCTACTTTGAATGTAAATGTAAATGATAGTTGTGGACAAGGGTTATTAGAAACTCAAATAGTTTGGATAACCTTTATGCCCATGATATAAGCTACTCATGAATACAGTTGGTCCACTAACCCGGTAGATGTTCTTGGTGGGCTCCTTGAACAACCACCGCTCCGGCTCCACGTTCTCATTGATGGGTATTACCCGCATGGAGATGCTTAGGTAGCCATAGCGCGCGAATATATTGATGGCCTTGCCGATCCGAAGCTGGGACTCGCGACGACCTCCATCCGCCAGGAGCGCCAGGGTCAGCAGCCAGAAAAGGCCAGGCCACGACCTCATCGCTCAGCATTCAAGGTATGAACTGTAAGAACATAATATGAATAATAATAGAATTTAGTTTGGGTTGCTATGGACTTATAATCAAAGAGTCCAACATTTATTAAGATTACAACCGTTGTGTTTTCAGGGAAAGTCCTTTTGTATCATAAGAAAAACTGATAAAACTAAATAATATTAAACTAGATATACTCTTTTCTTCAATAAATAATGAATGCTAATAAGAAAGATCTATTATAATAACTTATTGTAATGAATCCTAAATGGCTCCTAATGGCAGTGCATAAATCAATGGGAAACAGGTACCTACTAGCAGTTCCATCTTTAATTCGTTTAACTAAACGCTATCATTAGTTATTCCGAGTTAAACCGGAAAGTTTCCTACCATACAACCTCTATTGTTTGTTTATATTTTTAAAGCCCATGCAGTGGTTGCGCCACAGAGGGGGGTTTAGTTATATGGCAATAATTGCAGGGCCGTCGTGTTTGTTTTCCACTCTATAAACGGGCGATAATTTAAGCGCGCTCTAATTGGCCATGAACCTTCAGTGGCTCTGAACTTGAACCGAACCCCGGGTGACTTTACTTGGGTTCCGTGGAGGTAGAGGTAGAGGCCACCAGCTGGCGATGAGCCGAAGCTCTGTTCCGATCACCTTAAGTGGATGCAATTAGCCGCAGGCTCCTGCCCGTAAAAACGGCTACAAAGTAAAGCCATCAAAATTGGTTTGCTTGTCTGTTGTTTTGACTTGCAAATTATTTCCTAAAAACATTTTGCATGCCTCGTAACCGTTTTCTTGTTGATTTGGCTTTGGCTTGGCTTGGCCCACTATACTGCAAAGACCGGTTATGCAGTTCGCCAATATTTCTGGCCAGATATTATGGTCTGGCCGGCAAGGAAGCCAAAGTAATTGGCCCGGGCCACACACATTCTAACAACATGGCGAGGCAACTCTTAATTCGAGCCGTTATCAGAAAAAGCGACGTGTTTTGGATGGCCAGGCCAGGCCAACAACACAGAGGTTAGCCGGGTGTTAGCCACGTTCGTGAGTCACACCTGTCGCCCCGAAGCAGTCGAGCGCAACGCCAGACAAACAGCCATGATGACACTCAAATTGTTAACAATTTACGTGAACCATAAAATCTAGGCGTCGCTAAACTTGTCCAGCAGCAGCAGTAGCAGCAGTAAAAAACAGAAAAAAACAAACAAAAAACAGCAGGAAGAATGACTGAATGAAAATTGCCCGTAATGAAACTAGCCCTGAATGGAACAAAGAAGAGAGCCATCGGCCTGCAAGATGCTATATACAAATAACACTACCGATGGGCGATTCCAGGAAATACACATTTGCACAGTTTATAAGCACATATATATTTGCTAAATGTTGCAATCAGTAGCCCCAGGAAACTTGACCCCACAGATGAACTTCAAAGATTGCAATATCTCTACAGATTCAAACATTTTGCCTGGTGTTCTCGTGTAGAATCCGATTGCGAAGGTTGTCAACTTCTAGCAAACATCTAATACCCTGCTAATGAGCTTAGTTCTCTATTGAAAGACCCTAAAAATTGCCCCAAAGTCTGCGTGCCGCTTGAAAGGCATGTGTTATGTGACTTGATGATAGTTAGTTTTGGCGGTGGGGGTATTTACAATAGCGGACGCATAACCTTGTGCAAAAGACCCAAAAAAAAAGCCGCGAACCGGAGTTCGAGATGAAGAAGACGAATTAAATCAAAAATTCAATGCGCGCACTCGGACTCTGAAGCAAAGGCAACTAAAAATCAACTGGTTCAACTGTGACTCCCAATGCACTGAGAAAAAACAAGCCAGTACATGACAGTACAAGAACTATAGGCACAAGAACTGTCAACTAAGTAAGTGATCAGTTATAATAAAAATATAGATGTTGGTTTTACTTTTTTAACCATGTTTCCTCAAATCAAATATGATCGATTTCTTATTCTAATCATAACACTGAGAAAAATATTCTGTATTTGTTTATAACACAAATAAAAAATATACGAGATTTTAAAGGACACTTATCATATTCGGTCAACAACATTTAAAATTTAAGACGGTAAAAATGAAAACTTTTTTTTTAAAATTTCTTGCTACTTTATTTTCTGTTTGATATTTATAAAAAAATAATCATAATATAATTTATTCTTCATATATATTCTTTTATGGTTATTATCAATATTATAGATTGTTCAAACGATTCTTTTTTTTTGAAAAATAATCCAAAACGTTTATAATGAAAATATTTTTATTCTGACTATTCTGATATTCAAAAAAGTAGAATCCTTAAAAATCACTTTAAAATTCCGAACTCCTCTCTCAGTGCTTAACACCGTGGTAGTCTGCGGCCAGTCAATTGGAGATTCTTTATACGCATTTCATGCGCTCTTTTGTGGTCGTGGTCTGGATCGAACCCCGGACGAAGGGCAACCGACGCGGGGCATAAGGTCTGCAGTTTATATCGCGCTTAATTTTATGCTTGCTCCGTGTGCGTTGTTTCCTTGAGCGGTGTTAAACAAAAGTTGTCTGGCTGCGAGGTGCTGCTTCTGCCGTTTCTGCTGCTATTTTTGTTGTATTATTTACCTGCACGAGAACTCGAACTCGAATGCGGATTGAAATTGACGTAACCAGCGGACAGAAGCGGCTTTTTGGCCAGAAGCTCGAAAGGGAGGGGGGGTCTATTCTACGGGCCAGATGAGACTAATCCGCAGCTCTAGAGTCTAGAGTGGTTCCCCACTGGTTAGCCTTATCGCTATGATACCAGGGGCCATTGCACAAGGCTGGCTGGCTGGCTTTAGCATCGCTCGTTGCCGAGTTTTACGGTTTGTGGGTCAGAGGTCGACGGCTCGACTCGACTCGGCTCAATGGCTGTTGGCGCCCTCAAGTGATAAGCGCATCTATATATAGATCGCTGGAATCTCGGGATCAAATTACGTTTGCGCGGATTTCAACAACCAACATGGCACACAGCACACATCACGAACATAGTCGAGTACCCTGAATAAGTAAACACTAAACACTAGACACTAAAACACACCACAACTCAGACCGAACGAGCGACGACGACGTGCCTTCAATTGCAATTAAAAGCCGGAATTTGCGGCAACCAAATACACTTACTATAGCACTCCAAAACCCGAGCAGGCACAACTTCCAGCGCGCAGACTCAAAACCAAACTGAAACTGGCTACCAAAAACTCGATCGCCGGAGAGAACAAGCCGATCAGCAGCAGCAACAGCAAACAGCAGCAATATGTGTTGCGCCACGCCAGCAACATGTTGCTGCTGGGCTGTTCGATTGTTGCTGCTGCTGCAGCAGCAACAGTTGCAGTTCAATGACTGGCGGCCAGCAGAAGTTCTACTCCTCCAACGGTAATGGCTATGGCCAATGCTAATGGCCTGGCACAAATATCTATTGTTGACATCTGCCGTTTTGGGGGGACAGCTTTTCCGCTTATTAATATTTCCTAGCACGTCGCCAACTTCCAGTTTGTTGGCCAGTATAGGCCAGTTGGGGAGGTGGAGGCCTCTCTAAGCGAGGCAGATTGAAATGATTGCAGTTTGCCGGCCCAGACTTGCGAAAGACCCTCATAGAACTCTGTGGCCACAGTGGACAGTAATCAAAAACTTTTGGTACTCTTTGTGGTGGCAGCAAAAAAAAAAAAAAAGAGATACAAAAACTAATAAGACCCAAAGTGAGCCGAGGAAAAAAACAAAAACGAAAGTATCAAATTCGCATTACCTTGAAAACATGCTAACAAATTTGGGTCAAGCTTTGAGTGCCGGGCGACAAATGTTTGAAATTCGAGTGTAATGTTTCAATTAGAAGCTCAAGATACAAATGTATCTGAAGTCCAAAGCCCCATGGCTGCAGGGCATCCGCTTTGTTGTCAAAGCCTTGACTTCTGGATTTCCGCTGGCCATTGAGCATTTCTGCGAAAGTCTCGGTTGGCTTTCTAAGAATTTGAATCTTTCTTTGGGAACTTGGAACTGGGGGGGTTTGGTTTTTTTGTGGGTCTACCGAAAATCATTGCAAAAGCAGTTTGAAATTGTATCTCTCGTATATTTTTGTTCTCTTTCCATATATAGAAGTTCATTTTATTATTTCTGTTTCGGTTTCTGTGTGGGTTTTGCTTTGTCTTTGCTGCATGCATGATTCAAAACTTATATATTTAAAATTCGGTATTTCAGTGTTTACTCGATTTTATTTAATTCTCATTCCCGTTCTCACCACCTTTCTGTTCGTCTTCGCTGCGGTTTCTGTTTCATTTTAATTTATTATTATTAATCCCATGTTTAAACTATGTATATATAATGACATTTTTATCATTTATTTTAAATGATATTTACTAACGCCACGGCCTTCTGCGCCCCAAAACGATCGATCGATCTGTCGATCCATTCATTTCATTTCATTTCATTTATTATTTTAATAACAATTCACTCAATTAGCTCAAATCGCGTCAATCTACACATATTGACATTGGAGATCATAAGCATTTCATCAACTCATCTTCACCATCATTACCCTCAGTATCATATCATCATCATTGACTTATGAAATTAGAGAAAAATTCTAATTCATTTGGTTTACGTGACCATGTTCATCTCATTTCTTTTTTCTTTTTCATTTTTATGTAATATCAACAATACATTTTTACTTAATCTTAGTGTGAAATTATTCTTAGAGTACAGCTACAATCTGCTCGCATCGGCTAAGAAAAAAAGGATCAAGTAAAAGTACGAAACGAGTCCTTCAAAATCCTAGCTCAATCTCGGGATACTCTCTATCGGTTTTCCCCCTCATTCAATTCTGTTCAATCGTTCCTAATCATGGTTATATACCGTAAAATATAAGATTTTGATTTGAGCATTCTTTTCCTAATCGTTTCTTCATTTTTGGTGTTTTCTGGCACATCCAGCTTTTGCTTGGGGGAGCTTCAAAATGTACATACATCCATCTCCATCTCCAGCCGTTTTTTTTTCCTTATAAGGTTCCTCCTATCATATCATATCATATCGTCTCGTCTCGTCCCGTTCGTTCCTTCGTTCGCTTTAAGGTATAATACTTAGTTAATTTGGCCACTTGGCTGCGTTTGTGGTTGTGGGTAGGTAGTTAGTTCTTCAGTTTTTTCGGGTAGGTTCGGTTGTTCTTTTTTTTGGGATACTTCTATGATTTGCATTGCCTCTCCTGCTATCTCCTTCCACGCTCAGAACCGAAAAATTATAGCCCAGCGTCTAACGATAATACTCTATGCAAAATTGTTCAACCATTTTGAAACCATAGAATTGTTCTGGATATAAGTATGTAATTCTTGTGTGGTGTGCGGTTGGGAAATTCAAGTGGGTCGTGTGGTTGTTGGGCTCGAATTAAGCTCAGGCTTAAATTGTTTTGGGGGGACAGCTAGAGAATTGCGTGGCACGTGTTTACAAATGTGTTCGATTTAATACTAAGTTCGATCTCAAGTGTGTTCTATTCTCGATTTTCATATCCCAATCACCCAACTACACTCCGTAGTTGTGGTCTAAATTCTGTTTTCGTCCATCTCAGAAAGCTCTATGTGAGGGAAGCTAATTCAAAATGTTCTGAACCTCTCCTATATCTCCTATCATAGGGATCTATATTTGGGGAAAAGCGAAATTACTGAGCGCTGGTTGCTGATTATGAAGCTGCACTAAAAAAATGCCAGGTTTCTTGATTGCTAAGACAGTTTGTCGGTGTCATTGTAAAGTATCTCGAAAATTTGAAGCTGCTGCTTGGGTGGTTACTGGGCCTGTGGGTGTACGAGTAATTCAATTCAATTCAATTCAAAGCGACTTAAGAGATCTCATTCGATTCGGTTTGGGTCACCTTGTTTGGTTTTCGTTTTTGGCTGTGGGTTAAAAGGAAGCGCTCCGCTATATTATTCTTATTGAACTTGACTGATTTTCAATGTATCCAACCTGAGTTTGAGTTGTTCGAAAAATATATATATGTGTTGTGTATACATACTTCCTCGATTTCCTACTTTCTTCTTCATTTTTTTTTGTCATATATTTATATGTTTATCTGCCTGTTTTGCGTTGACCTGCAATCTCCTCACCTTTTCGCTAATTATATTAATTCGTAATTGCAGTTAGTGTGTGTTTTTGTGCTCACTCTATGTTTTTTTCCATTTGTTTACTTTGCTTTTGCTTGAATTAAACGCGGCTGCAATTAATATTATTTCATTTTTGTTTTATTATGTTTGATTGCATTTTTTGTGGTTTACTCATTTCTCATTGAATTCAATTAAACGTCAACAATTTGGTATTTTGGTTTTATATGTTTTTTTCTTTTTCCTCCGCGTGTGTAGGTGTTGTGATCTGAATTAATTGTATTTTTTTTTGGGTTTTTTCTGTTACCTTTTCTTTATGTTTATTGCATTTAAAACGTGCACTTTACCACTGTCCTGACTTGATCTTCCATATGTAATTAATTAGTTCTTACTTGGCTTGAAACACTTGAAATTGCTCACATCGTAATTTGTTTATTATTCTCTGTTCTTCGTGTTCTTTTTGCTGCTGTGTCTCCTTGTGTCTATGTTTAATTATATTTAATTACGTAGTTTTCTCTATAATTTACTAACTCGTTCAACGCCCTATCTGCACACAAGACTCTTACCGGAAATAATCTTTGAGTAAAAACAATTTGGAGTGCTTCGGTTCGATTTGTCTAACTCCAGTTAACTTAGACACTAACAAGTGCAAGATTTACATAAGCGTTTAATGCTGTTTTGACTAAATGCTGAATACAAACAATACAACAAAACAATAATTGTAAAATATAACACAATGAGCATGGAATGGCAAATACAATCGGTTAAAATTAATACAAAATAAACATATAGTTAAAACAGAAAACAAAAAAAGAGGCAAATACAAATGGTTGTCTGTCAATTAACACACTTTTTGTCTTTGCGTTGCGACCGCAGTTCCCATAATACCCATCTACTCTTAAATTATATAGCTCGGCGCCAGGCGCCTTCTATCTTCCAGTACTCCAGTCCTCCAATCCTCACTGTCATCATCATCTCCCATAGTGGATGCTGTTTTGCTGTTTTCTTCAGTTGCTGTTGCTTTTGTGCCTTGGTAATACTTTAATGGTGTGTTGTGGTGATGTGGCGTGTATCTGCATCTTCGTTTCGTTTATCTGCCTCAGTAGAGCGCCACGTTGGAGGCCTGCGTGTAGGCGTCCCACTCGCAGTCGCAGCCCTCGAGGCAGTCGGGGCATTCCAGTTCGCTGTCTTGTCAGTACAGCCAGGACACGGGCACCCACTGCGGGGTGGTGTGCACCCGGTCGATGGCCGTCTCCAGCGTGGCAATCGTCTCGCTGATGTCGTTGTTCACAATCGTCAGATCGAAGAAGTGCCCGTACAGCTGGCGCAGCATCTCCGACTCCTTGGCCAGTCGCTCCAGGCTGCCGTCGTACTGTCATTGGGTGAAAGGTGAAACGATTAGAAGGTTTTCACTTGGGTCTAACTACTATGCTTAACTCACATCTGCAATGTTCTGCAGCGAGGGCGCCGCTATAAACACCACGTAGGGCGTGAACTCGGCGGTGCGGAGTATCTTCAGGGCCTGGGGCTCCACATCCAATATGGCCATCTTGCCCTCGGTGTGAATCCGCCGGATGGTGTCCAACTTGGTGCCGTACATGGCATCCTCATGGGTGCCTGCAAGGTTTCAAGGAATACACATGAGCTTGGCCTGTGGATAGGCTATGTCACTGAGTTCACGTTACCGTATTCCAAGTACTCATTCGCACCGATGTCCGCCATCATTTCATCGTGCGAGACAAAGTAATAGCTGCGTCCGTTCTCCTCCTCGGGCTTGGCAGGTCTCGTTGTATCTGTAAGATGCGATAAATTACTCACAATCCTTTGTACTACATTTTAATATTGATTGCCAATTAGTTAACACAGTAAAACGTTAAATGATGTCTTTACTAATTAGTAGTAAATACAAATTACTAGTGTAGCACCAATAAATTATATTATTTGAAGCCCATTATTCACTTGGCAAATAAATAGTTAATATGACAGGGTCTTCATTATTTGAAATATGTTCAAAGAAGCCTTATCGATAAGAAATAAATCTCTTTAAGGCTTTGAAATTTGTAAATTGTCAGCCAAGGCTGTCGCAGACTGAATAATAGCTTTATTTACCGCTGAAAATTTATGATGATTCGACTTTTATGAGACAGAAAGAAGATGAATTCAACGCTTTCTGCATCATTAAGCCAATCAATTGAGCGATGGTTGCTATAAATCAAACAGTATGCCTAGGTAGATGTCTATACTTAAGAAAGCCCTTTTAAAGTACACAAGTGGCTTCATTTAAACACAAACAGCCAGCAAGTACTATTGTAAGGACACTTACGTGGTATGGGATAGGCGTACTTGTCGGGGTACTTCGATATCAAGGTGTTCTTGATGTGCCGCCTGCCCACCCCATGAGCACCCAGGAGCACCAGCGTTTTGCGCTGGAAGTTCGGATCCCCAACTGAAAGAAGGCACAGGAAGGAAGTGGAAAGATAAACAACGGTTAACCTGTGGCTGGGTTGGAGCCATCAAACCCACCTGGCACCTTGACAACCTCCTCGTACGTGACCACATCGAGCGTGTCGAAGATGGCATTGTGCTTGGCCAGATATTTGTCCCGGCATTGCTTCTTCTTGCGCCCAAAGATGGAGCAGTTAACTGTTGGTTATAATGGAGAAGGAATGTTATTGAATTGTTTTAATGGATTGATAGAGGTAGAGCTGAGTAAGTTAAGAGCCGCATGCTTATAGAGCAGGCACAAACATGCTGTAGAGCAGGCACATTCGATAAATTAGAGCATGAAGCAAGCACGATTTCGCGTAGTTATATTGGATGAGTTCATGATATCCTTCGAGATGATTAATGGACTTTTTCCCTTGGCACTTTATTAGTTTCCTGACCTAGATTTTAGATATGAGGTGCTCTTATAGCCAGCCTAACGTGCAGTGGTGTGAACTTGTTTTTATGTGTGTATAACTAATTCGTCATAAAAATTTAGTTTGATATAAAGTTTGGTTGGGTTATAAGCGGGGGGTTTCAACACTGTGGGTTCATAAACAACGATGGCTGAGGTGCATCTACTGTTTTTAGATGGCGATCGTGATCATGTGAGGCGGTTCTACTCGATTCCTGGAACTGGGTGGTGGTTTCGGTGGTGCCGTCTACATAAGCTATAACTTTCGGGCAGTTGGGTGGTTGGGTGGGTGTTTGGTTGACTGGGTTTCGGGTGTGGGTGTGGGTGACTTCTTTATACAAAAATTGCTATTGATAGAAATTCTGTTGTATAGTACGGGTGGGTTGTTTGTGTTCTGTTGTTTGTGGCATAACATAACTCAATAAGAAACGTTAAAGGACGAGTCTTAGGCAGCTCTCCTTATCGGAGATACGTTTGATTTTTGTGGTTTGGTGTGTGGTTTGTGTGGGTTGGTGGTTTTTGGTTATATGGTAACTACCTGCTGATCCATCACACCCATCTGCGTGAGCGGAACATCCAGCACCCGGTTCTCCTGCATTATATTATCATACATACAGAGTTTATAGCAATTCTTTGGTTCGGTTCGAGATGCGAGATTCATGTTTAGCAACTAGGTATAAGAGTTTTGTACAGGTGTGCAAATGTGGGTGTATCTTTTGGTTCTTTGAGTTTTCTCAGCTTGAAATTTGGCAGCGAGGGGACTTTCCCTTTTTTTTGGATTTCAATAATTTGAAATGGTTTTTCCTTTGACTACTTTTTGGGGCATGCAACTCTCTGTGGGTGTTAGTGTACAGATGTGGGTGGTATGTATATGTGTGTGTATTTTTGGATATATGTTAGTATAAGTTTGTGAGAGAGAGAGACATAGAGAGAGCGCTTTCCCTTTTCGATTAACTACGAGTTCGTCATACACTTCCAATATAAGTACAATTATTCATATAGCATACGATTGGTTTGATTATATCGAGCATCCAATTACACATAGAGAACACGGATAGTTGGGTTCGAGACGCCTGCCGCCGAACAGGACTCCCCGGGGTCAACCCAGGTCACTCACCCTGCTCCTGCTTGGTCTTGTCGACCGTCTGGCAGGCGATCCGCCACTCCTGCAGCTCCGGCGACGGTATCAGTCCCGCCGATCCGCCCACCGTGTCCAGTCGCGCCTGCCACCAGTGATGATCGTCCTTGCTAATGATCTGTAATTATAACTCATGATATTCATCGGTTTCATTTGGGTTAAGCTGCATCGAACCTACCTGCAGTATGTCGCCCACTTGGAACGATATGCCCGCCTGGGCGCAGGGTATAAGCTCATCATCCAGCGGATTATAATCGAATTGGGCGCGCACGAATATCTGCGAGTGCAAGGGAGATACAAAATAAACCAGATGAGCCCGAATCAAGTTGAAATTCGCAAATAGTTTGCCGCAGCAGGTCGATGATTCGGTTTTCATTCTCATTCCCATTCCCATTTTCCTTTTCCGCTTCGGATTTTCTGATTTCTGCCATTTCAGCTACTTTTGCTCAGGCTGCAACTGAGTTGTGGCTGCCTCAGCGAAATGGGTTTCGGTTTGCGATTTACATGCAAAACTCATTTGCATGTCAAAAGCAGCAGCCACAGCAACAAAATCGCTAGCAACAAAGAAACAAACAACTTTGGCAAGCAGAAGGTTTGAAATTTTAGATGCCCTGGCGAATTGAAAATTTATAATGGGAAAACTATATATAACTGAGAGCTCTGTAGAGATAAAGTTTAATTGAAAAGCATTCAGTTTGTGGATAACATCATATATATGTTTATATAACTCCAAAACTATTATACATAATATAATAGTGGTTTAATAGCTGCTAGCACATATATTTAATTTAAAACAAAGTGCAAATATTTACTCGAATTCCGCACATGTAACTCTTGTGCAAATTAAAATGTTGTCATGTGGCAACCGCTCGGAACACAAAACTTCGGGCTCATAATCACAATATACCCCAAATAGGACCTCAAAGACCTGCTTGCCATAGTATCGTTGCCGTTGACTAAGTGATGAACATAAATTAGACAAATTTACGGCTCTTGTGTGAGTTGTGCCCTTTGACTTGTCTGCGGGTTAATGAATATGCACATCTACCGGAATGCTGGGTGGGTAAATGGGTGTTTTCGACTAAAAGTAATCTCGAGTGGGCGGTGCGTGGGCTGTTCTGTTCTGTTCTGTTTTGTTGAGTTCTGGATGGTGTGTGCGTGATTACGTGTCTATTGTAGGGGAGCGTGATACTTACAAGCACCGGAGCGGGTCTGATCCTGAAAAGCTGCGTGGTGGCATGAGTGAGGGGGGGTATAAAGAGAGGGGTTGGAGGGAAGGAGCAGATTGAGAGAGAGTGTGGAGTTATGTTAATGCACTGCGAAATAATTGCATAATGGATTATAGCTACAAACTACAAACGCGCCACGGAAGGTCTGGTTGTTCCGGATACCCCATACATACAAACATAAATATTACATGGCTGCCGAACACAAACCCATTTTTCCCATTACTCTGCTGAAGCCTCGTTACCTCATAATATGTGCATAATGCACTCGACTGCCCAAGTTGCGTTCTCGCAGCCCCATTGTTTTGCTTTCGATTTAGCAAAGGAAGGAGAGCCCACTTACAACCCCATAATTAATCCCTATTGATATTTGGATTTCTCCAAATTGACAAACAATATAAGCATTTCACTTCATTGAACTTAATAACTTAATGCCCAGGTATTTAGAATTAAACTGCCTAATTATTTAATTGCGCCTATTTAAAAGGTAATTAAGTAAACAAATCTTTCTCGATTTAAAAGTTTGTATATATGGTAAAGTTTTAACGTTTCACAGAGAGAACCATTCAAATACATTGTTCTTGAATTGAGAACATTCGTTCTTAAAAAACCGTGAATGTACACTTTATATGAATGTTCTCAATATTAGAACGAAATGGTTAAATTGAGTTTACTTAACAACTTTTTAATAAGTATAGATTTCTGACTGGACTAATACTTTAGTTGCTGAGATATATACAATGTTAATACCGCCATATTATCTAGAATCAATCACAATTAAAACATTTTCAACTTCAAAAATTTCTTTCCATTCTTAAGAACATTATCAACTCATATAAGAGCGTCAGAATTGTCTCTGTTTTCTTAACTTCTTTAAAAGCAAATACTTTATCTGTAGTATATCATTTTCTAAAATTGTTCCTAACTGGAACCTAACCAGAACAAATTTTGAAAGGAGGATGAGGACTTAATTGTATAGCTGCTACCTATATATATAGACACATTCCATATGAAATGAGTAGGAATTACCATGTTTAGTTTATAGTTTCTTGTATGATTAGTATAGTGATAAGTCAGCCTTAAAGTACACTAGATATATACACCAAAAGTGGATCCCGGTTCCCTAACTTACCTCGCAGGGGGGCGGAGCGCTGCGGTACGAAGGAACTATCTTGAAGGTAACAGAACCGCGTGCCTCGCGCTGCAACAGAGGGATTAAGATCGGACACATTCAATTAGCAGGTGGTAGGACAAAGTCAGTCCAGGATTTGGGTTCAAGGGGGAGGAGGAACTGGGTGAACTGGGAACTGGAAGACTGATTGGCGGGCTCACCAGCATTCGTTGCAATTGGCCAACCGACTGGTGCTGCACCGGCTGGCCGTTGATCTCCCGTATCTCGTCGCCCACGTGCAGCGTGGCCTGGCGATGAATCATCCCGCCGTGCATAATCCTGGCCACAATGCACCGCCCGTCCTCGGTCATCTTCAGCGTGATGCCCTGCAAGGGATTATGAAGTTGGTCAGTCCATTGCCGCTTTTCCCCCCACCCCATCCCCTCAAGGGATGGATAACCAGGCCGGAGCTTACCATGGGCTCGTCCGTGTTCTTCTGGAACTGCACCAGTCGCACCCGGGTCACATGCTGCAGCTCGCCGCCCTCGACGTTGTCCAGTTCGTCGCCATTGAGGTAGGGCACCATTGGGGGCGGGGTGACGCGCAGCGCCTCCTCCCCGTAGACATCCCGGGCCACCACATCGTGGCTATGGAGCAGAGCCTGCAAAAAGGAGCACAGGTAACGAGGTTAGAAAGCAATAGGAACTTTAAGTAGGTTGCTCCTTCAAAAAAAAGTTATTTCCCCCTTTAAAAAGTCCGAAGTTTAATTTCTATTAGCCTGCATTAAATATTTTGCTTTTAATATTGCGTTTTATTTATTCAAGCTCTGCATTTTCCGGAAAAATTCTTTACCACAAATTGACCCACTGGAGTTAATGTTTTTAATATAGGGAACTATTTACTGACATTTTTATGATGTAAAAGCCCTTAACAAATATTCAAAGCACGCACTTCAACTGGCCTTTAATAGTTCTTATAAAAAAACATCAAAGAACCTTTTTAGCTGAGCCACGAAGGATTGAGATACCATCTCAACATAATTTATATGATCATAAAAAGAAGCCATCGAAATTCAAGTTATTTTTGCATGAAAATTGCATTAGGGAATGTCCGCTCATTCTGGACCCGGAAGTAAATGGGTTGAAAAGGGAAATAATTTTGATTTAAACACATGCTAGATATTAGAAGACCGCTCTCCTCGGGGTGCAGGCTTCGGTTTAGGGTTAGCCTAAATTATGGCCGGCAATTAAGCTGGCCGTTATGAGCTCCGGCCGAGCAATGTGGCCGGGCTCGTTTGGTTGGGAAATTAAATTTCCGATTTGCCACGCCTGCCACATACATCATAACGCCCAAACGAGGGACTGCCGACCGCACAGCACAACTTGTTTACAACATTAACTGTGCGACATTTGTTGCACAGCCACAGTTTGGGGCAACAAGCACACACAAAGCACAAAAAAAAAACACGCACAAACGAGCTGGATAAAAAACACATGGCATCGAGAGGATGAAACGCCCATTTCCGAAAAGCCGTTAAAAGCGGCGACAGCCACAAACGAGAGCACGCACATGACCCCGTGACCCCATGGATAACCAGGGATAACCGAGCGAACGACAAAAATCTCAACAATTTATGGCAACTCACTCCCCCGCGCATTCATACAGCTCAGCCTGACTTTATACAATTTCGGTTTTTAATAAATTATGTTTAATAACACTTTGAATATGTTGCGAAATTAATTTTTCCTGCCCTTGTCCTTGCGTTTTTCCTGAGGCAGGAGGAGTAGGGGCAACAATATCCTGGCGTAGGAATGCCGCCAGAAAAAGGAGCAGGCCAGGACCCGAAGCTGGTGCTGAAGCCGAGCCATTGGACTAGGCCATAAAAAAGGATTTTACTGCGATGCCATGCCGTGACACTTGTGCCACTCGCACGCACACAGACGCACAGCAGGCACACAGGCAAGCACGCACGGGGAAAAGGACGATGTGGTCGGTATACAAATTTACACTGATCAAAACAATATCAAGATTGAGCTCTCAAAATGGGAGAGAATCATATTTGAAGAACCCAACATGTGAGCATTAAGAGCTTGAATCCCGTTTGCAAGATTTCAATTAAAGATTGTCATTCCTTAAAAGGGGATGGACATGTTTATAAACGCTTTATAGGTTAGGAATGAATTTTAAAGGAAGAAATATGGATTTAAATCAATGGATATGTCTCTCAATATAAAAGCCTTTTTTAATTCAATTGGGTTCAAACTTCTCATGTTAAAGTTCTAGTTTTTTACCTGTCAGACAAATTTAACATGAAGGTTAAGTTGTTTTCTCAATATGATGTTAATTTTAAGAACGACAAATCTTAACAGAGTCTGTCATCAGTCTGGTATCCGTTTTCATTCAGATAAAATCTAAGATGATATTCGGAACCCAAACAATCTTCAAAACATCAATTACATTTAGTGAGAAAATTTAACCTGACATTGAGAAATTGAACTTAAATAACATGCTAAGCTCAGTAATAAGAAATTCAACAAATTTCTTTTGATTAAAGGGTTCTTCCTAATTTAAAGCGAGACCTGACATGAGAACTTGAAGAAGGTTAACTCATTTGGTTTCAAGAGTATTTATGACTAAGCACTAAGCTTGAGACAACCCCAAGTTAGTGTTTTCCATCTTTATGCGAGTGTACATTTACATATATGGTAAGTACAGCTTACGCACTGCCAGCACTTTTGCCCAGTGCCCCGACACCTTGCCCCCCTCAACCCCCCTCTCGATTTACCCCATCAGGTTCATCCCCTAGCACCATTCATCCCCAATCCACTGGCACTGGCACTGCCCCATAAAAAACGCAATTTTCAACGCTGATGATTACTCAATGCCACAAACACGGGCACGTAGCAGACCCACACACACACCTACACTCCCACACCCACACATCTAAGCCCCCAAACCCACGCCCACAGAAATACACACACTTAGACAGCAGCACGTTTCATTTCCGCCACAGACATTGCTGCTGACATCGACCGCAAAACTCAACTGAGCAGCAGTTCCTCTCTTTCGAAGGATGTCGCTCTCTTGGCAAAAGGATGCCACATGGTAAATGTAAACCTTTCTCTCTCTCCTGGTTGATTTTCCGCTTTTCCAGCAAACTGCACTATTCGAGAGCTTTTCGCCACTCGTCACTCACCACTTTTGAGTGAATATCCGCAATGGCGTGTGCATAAATATTTCATAATACTTGGTAGGACATCGTGCAGCTGGGGGAATCCCCCGAAAACTCAGTTAGCTGTGTAAACAAGAATATGGGAATGATTGGGTGGATTGGTGGGGTTCTATCGAAGGGAAGTGATGGGGATTGACAGGTGGTAATCGAGTTTGGGCTTATCGAGAAACATCAATTCAATAATTTCGACGTGTTGGATTCGAAGGAGTCATTTTTCGGGGGGTAGGATATCACATTTAGTGGGCCTTGCCTTGATTTGCAATGGGGAAATGGAAATATCTCTGTCGACCATCCTTGAAATGGTCCTTTGATCCCCTAGTAAACATGGCAACCGATTTCATTCAATTTCGAACTGTATCGAATGGGGGATAAGTTAACTTATTGGATTGGGATGTTCAGAATGTTTTGGGGAAAAATGATTTTGAAAATCCTTGAGTGAAGAAAGGAGTTTATAAAGAATTTATAAAAAGTAAAATGTTCTTTAAAAAGAGTCCTATTCCCATTTATTTCAGTATACTTGTAAGATTTCCTTCGTTAATAATTTATCAAGGAACCACTCTGGGTTAGAAAATGGCTAATATCATTGAATATGCTAATAAAAAATGTTATTTTTCAACCTTTCTAAGCAAAATACTAGGATACTCCCTGAGTTCGATTCACTGACCCCTTTAAGAACTCACTCCAACCAGAAACGAATCCCATTCCGCACTTGTCTGTCTGCAATTTATTGTATTTGCCCGTTTTGGCAGAAGTTTGCAATCCAATTACGCCAGAACTTCCAACTACCCATTAATGCGAGTTAGAAACACCCTGAAAGACAACCACGCCTTCCAGAAGCCTCAACAGCCGCAACGGAATTTGACTAAATAAATGGGTAATACAATTTCCCTTTGGCCGGGAAACAAAATTAACTACATCGAATAAAATTTGCTGAACTTGGCAACTATTTAAATGCGGCAGATGGGTCGGAAGGCAGAGCAATTTTTCCTGGGCGCAATGGAGGAAATCCAGTGAAGGACACATGCCTGGTTAGCTGAAAACCAAGTCGTCGCTGAACGATAAACAACGTAATCTGATTTCACTTAAGGCCTCTGCCTTCCGGCCATGACCACGCCCATTGACCACTGAAAAGGGGGGCTGGAGGTCCATATTTAACACCAAGTTGTTGGACCAATAAAACGGTAAATTTAATAAGCGCTTGACAGGCGCAAAGTTGAGCAGTTAAGTTTAATGCCTCATTAGGCGCTCCGTTTCAGTGACATTGATAGCCAGCGTGGCAAACTTTTGGCCCAAACCTCCTACCCCCTCCCCACAAACACACACACTAACCACACACCCACAAAAAGTGGGAGGCAGCTGCCTCTGATTTCCATGATTAATACTTAAGTGCTTGTTAAAGTTTTGCCCGGGTCCCGAGTTTCGCCGGCTTTATATGCAGATGCCTGTTGTTTGCTGTGGGCCGAGGTCCTGTCCTAAACAATCAGTATAACCCCATCCTATACCATCGCATTCCGTTCCAAAAGAGCAGCCCCGAGCTCCATTTGTTTGCTGCTGAGCCAGCAGCAGCCACATCAGAGCTGAACTTCACCGGAAACTGGACAGCAATGGAAAACCAACAACCCAACATAGCTGCAAAAAAATTCCCATCCATGGCCAAAAGCAACGACATCTTTCATTAGTCCCAAACATTCAGATTTCACTCTCACTTTGCACCATTTTCGACTTAGAACCTGAGTGCAGAACTACTGAATAATTCAAGCGGCAAAGTTGGCCATAAAGTTTGCGCAAATCTTTGACATCAAACTAACTTTGCAAACAAAATCTCGAGCTTGGAAAAAGGCAATTCAAAGGTACGAGTTGTAAATATTGAAGCAAGTTTTAAAGAAATAATGGAATTGACTCGTAACTCCCGAGAACTAATTGCAGTTCATGTCACTCAGTATTAAATGGAAGCAAAAACTATAGGAGAACATGTTATATCTTTAGACTTCCCTTGTGTGTTTAATATTTTAAAGAAAAGTTAGAGTACCCACTCTAAAAAGCTTTGACATAAAGCTAACTTTGAAATAAAAATTCTGTGATAAAAAATTTAATATCAAAGGGTTAAAAGGAATGGGCTGGTAGCCTTTTGAAACTATTGTTTAACCTCTACTCTTGAAGAAGAAGTGAGTTAATAAAAATATTATTTACGAAAAGCCTTTAAGTTTAAGACTTCACAACACCGTTTTAACTAATAAAAGTTTGAGTACCTTTTTTTTAAAAAAGCTTTGATATAAAGCAAACTTTAAATATAAATACTGAGATAAAAAATGAAACATCAACGGTTTGAATAAAATGGGGTATTTTTTCCGTTGACCTTTTCAGCAATAGAACATAGAATATATATTGTTTTAAAGAAAAGGGGACTTCTAAAGTACGTTCTGTAAAAAATAAAGGAAAAAAAAAGA